CGGTATATTATCGAATATTAACTGAATCTCTCAGTCTCCCGCAGCTAATCGCGTTTCATTAGAATCTCACAATGGGAATGGAAAGGTGGACGCGTTGTGGATGTCCTTTGTTGGATAACCAAAAAGAAGTTCACGACTTAATCTGTTAACTGCGGAATTTAGATTTAAATGATCTCCACAGACTACGGAGTTAAAATCAAGCAATAACGAATATGAAAGTCGAACGCACTTAATTGGTTTAGGAGAATTAGATACGTGAACCTATCACGAGAGAATTCTTCTTTTGGCTATTCATAAACTATGCACACTTAACGAATAAACTCTTGGAGTGTTTCGTATTTTATATCCCGCGAAATGTTTTCTTTTTCAGAAAACAAGAAAAAAGGAACGAGCTACATTCTGTACAGCTGGAAAAATAGGAAAAGAGCAAAACGAGCTTTTATTTTTTGGAACATTTTCATATTTCGTAAACACCATACGTGGAAACCGGCTGGTTGTATATTCTCCTTGCGGAAAGCTTTATCCGTGCGTCCTTTTAGAATTACATTTTTTGATTCTTGTATCACGTTTATTTCGAGCGAGAATATGTATCTAAATCCCACTATCAGAATTAAAGACAAACGCTGGGTACTTCTGAAATAGCACGTGCCCCAGTTCCACCGATTCCGTCAAAAGTGACCAGGAAATGACTTTCCACTCGCAGAAATCCACTCCGGACGCGAGTATCAGTTGCAATGGAACTTCGTGAGTCCCCGTTTAAAAATTTCCCTCTCGAATGATGCTTTGAGTCGCGGCGTCAGCGCGTTCCGGAGATATTTTAATAGCTTTTGATTTCAATGACGGGACACGCGCTGTCTTGGAAATAACTTCGAAATCCAGTTATGAACGCTTTGAGCCCTCGAGACGAGAGAAGTCCAGCTTTTTCACGGACGATATCCGCGCTTTGAAGTTTCCCCACGGGGAGGGATATCCTACCATAGCAATTAAAGGGAAACTTTTTATCGTTAGCCGTGCCTCGTTTCCACGGCTCGAGCCAACGGAGGTTGACTCCCGTCTCAAACGAGGAACTTTCGACGCCGCAGATTCTCTTTTCTGCCGTTGTGAATAGGACCAAATCCGTTTGTTCGCGTTTCAATTACGCGATAATAGGTGCCTCGTTCAGTTCGCGGAACTTGAGGGTGGAACAACACTCGCGCAGAAGCTAGAGATAGTCGCCGCGGAGCCGACATTGCAAACTTCTCTCTTAAAATTAACACGGCACCCGATACGCGCGCGCGCTCTTCGCTTTTTGCGTACTCTTAACCGTTCCGCGCTTTCCATTCTTCCGCGGACGAACTTCGGAACGTTGAGAAACTTGTCCAATCAAGCGACGAACGGATTCGGTAAATAATCATGCGGTGGAATGACGCGGAACTTTCCGTGATCTTGATGCGAGATCCTTCCGTCAACTGACACTCAAAGGGATTTACTTGTGCGCGGAGGGATGTGAAAAGGATTCGCGTGGCGTCTATCGTGACATGAAATTTGGTACAGAGTGTAGAATTATTAAGGTGCATCTGTCATAAAATTGATATTGTTTTGGATATTCAGCTACTGAAGTATTATTACTTGACCTTGATTGACCTTGGCTGAACTTTTTCTTCTCCACGTAGATTTTCCAAGATATAAAACTTACGTAAAGGATGGGAGTGTAAAATGAGATGCAGAGCGAAATGAAACTGCGAGAGGAACGGTATAACTGTATATTCGTGGCTTTAGAAATACAAGCATGTTACTTTATATACTTAAATGAAACTCGTCGTAGATAAATCATTTTTTCTTAAATTTGCATGTAAATCAATGTCACTTAAACTACATCATTCAGTATTAAAGAATTGATTTGTCTCCACGAATCACGTTGTAAACAAATCATGTAATAAGAGGGTTATTTCTCACAACACGAATTCGATGTAAAATGACACGGATCAAACGCTACTCCGGGAAACCCATATCCTCTTACACGCCTCTCATACAAAACACCACTAATTAACCGCATTATCCCGAAACCATGTTGTAACAGAATTACCCAACACAACAGTTAATTCCTCTATTCAATATCAAAATCATGTTCTACGAATTCGGTCTCCTAGAACACGTCTAGTTCGTGCAATTTTATTCCTGAAACCGTGAAGTAACAGGTATGCCACACGGGCTACGATGCGAGTGATCCGTGTTGTACGAGGGTTACGTCGTACAACGCTCGTCGAATGTACCAAAGTGTACAGAACTGACCCTCCCCTCTGGCCTTGTCTGTCCTGCCCCATTCCGACTCGGCAGCTTCCCTTCGTTCACTCGGTAAATTCAGATATTGTCAGTGCCATAAATCGGTTCGATGTGCTCGACTAAAGATAGACGATACGCATCATTGAGAATAAGTTATTGGTATAGGACGTGTTCGGGACGTAACATCGGAACATGACGTACGGTCTTATATACGCGAGGAGCGTCTGCCGCAGTCCGGCCCTTTCTCCTGCGTGCCTACGTCCCGTCAAAATTTCAATTTCCGTTGAGCATTCTATCGTGATAGCAATGTGTCTCTCTTCGTACGGCCGTTTATCATCCGCAGGCGAGGTTCAGATTGCAGCGTGCACGTTGGAATGCCCGGGCTGCAGAACAAATGGATCGCGAAGTGTGTTTGTCTTTATACCCCCGGAAAGATTCAGCGTTGCGCGCGCGCCGGGGTTCGGGCACGATGTACACGGAACCACGGTAACTGGCAATACAAGCGACGATATTTGAACGTTCTATGTGAAAAAATGAATCGAGAATATACAATAAAGTTTTTCAATGCGGGCCTTTACAGAATTAAAGCTAACGCGTTTTATGTTTAATTTCGGGTTGAAAATTTATATAAACGGCTTCTTTTTGGAGGTTTCTGTATTAAAAATTCTATATAATGTTTTTGTTTTATAAAATACAAAAATATATCTCATGAATAGATTCTTGTTAATAGTATTCCTTACCAATCTTATCTTCTTGAACCTACCTACAATAAAACTTTTATATAATTTGAACACTCTTCATGTTCATACTTTATTTCAAGAAATTCAATAATTCGTTTTATAAATTTATCTTACAATTAATTATTAGTAATAATTTTCTACACAACAGCAAAGAGTGACCAATTGAAATCAATGTTGTCAATTAATAACACGAACACAATGTTTCAAACCCGCTGTCTTTATCCTCGATTTTCGTTTTATTTTGGCTTACAGAATCATCCTTTGAAGTTGTTAAATGTGGGTGGTAAACGCCCAGTACGTACCACGTTTCGAAACTCAAAAATTCGTATCTTTCGGATTCTCTCTACGCAGGAAACGAGTTGGTCACGGAGGCGGGGATTGGAGAGAGGGGGGGGGGTCGACAGATAACGCGCCAGGGGTTCAATTTAAAAGCACGGGGCGAAATCGGACGGGATTAAGCTACGGGTTACAAGTTCGGTCCATTGCGAATATTCCGCCCGACTGCGGAAGCGTTTTGATGCCGAAACTTTTCTACCATTTGGTGGAAAACATTCGAAGATTGCAGTGTTTAGAACTCGAACGGAAAGGAGTTGGGAAAGAAGGAACGAAGGGAAACGGAGAGGAGGTAAAGACGTTGCAACTCCTGCATACTGAATTTACTACCCTCGAATTTCTTATTTAGCGAATAAAAGAGAACGCTTCTGGTAAAAATATTTCGATATTCTTCCAGCAATCTTGTATGCGCCAAAAATTATGCAAATGACCTAATTCAATATTTTCTATTATCTTTTTTCATATTACTTTGATGCAATTAAAAGTAGTCCGATTGTGGTCGTGTTTGGACTCATTTTCATCGAGTAAATCTCATTAATATATTGATAACGATACAATATTCATTTTTAGTGTTCTTATAAAAATTAGTTAAATTTTTTTTAAACACTTTTGTTCCCTTTGAAGATATTATTGGGAACTTGTTAGCACCTGTAGCCCCAGGGGTCTACAGAACCTTAATCAGTCGCTGCCTATGCCCCCTTTCGAGTTAATTGGAGTTCCCAATTTTGTCACTTGAAAGCAGGAATTACTGCATATTGAAAACGTGTTCTCAAAGTATCGTGTTATCTACACCTGGGGGGTTTCCTCTACGTGGCTTGTACCGAGGCCTCCTTCAAGGTACTGCAAATATAAAAATGTGATCTTGTTCGAAACTGCGAAAACGTTCGCTCCTAACTTTTATCGAGCATCATGCTCAGGAGCTTTACCTATTTCATGGACATTTTGTTCTTTTTCACTTGTCCAAACATTCGACACGATGTTTCAAGACGTGTATGAATATCAAAAGTAAGTTTGAGAAATGTGATCGATGAAAAACCCATTATTCTTTGAATTTCGTGATTGAAGATGCTTATATGGGTTTCTATCGACTCTTTCTGCAAACCCTGTTTATTTTTCTATCTCTTTTGTAACAAATTTAGAGAAGTCCTTTATTTGATTGTTGAGAACAAACTTCTTGATTGGGTTAATACATTTCCAAGAAATTTGTTTCAGCAATACTTGTATGGATGGATGGAACTTGTTCATTCGCTAAAGAGGATTGTCCGTAATTGCGCTATTGTTCTTGAGGTTCTATTATAAGTTTCATAATTTACAAAGGGTATTACCCAAGCTTCCAGTACCGATTGTGTTTTCCTACTAATCTGTTGTTAAGCTCACGTGTCCGAGAAGTATACTTTTTATTTGCTTCTAATCTAGAATCTAAAGGTTATTTTAGACTGCGTGCAAAACAATCCTTTAAAATTTTAACAAGTGTCATTAAAAAATTCTTGAAACATGTTTTTGGAAGAACAATTATTTTGAAACGACAGTTGCGTGAATTATAATTTTGGATTTCCTTTTGCTTTCGGATAGAGATATGTATGATGTAATATTATTTGAAATTATGAACTCTGTAATTACGTCAGAGGTGTGTGCAGCAGGGCGATAAATTTAAATTGTACTCACTTTCTGTGAAGGAATACACCGCTTTGAAACCTCGAGAGTGACGCGACGACGTGACACCGTGAAATTCCAACGAAAGTCGCAGCCCACTGCTCATGATAGGTCGTAATGGCATTTCGCCGCAAAACGAGTCAATTTTCTCCTTTTTGCCGTCTATATACACGTACGCCATTAATGAGTCCACGCCTTTGCATCTGAAATTAAAAATAATACTTGCCATTAATGCACTTAATCTTCCATTAAGGAAATAAGGCTCGAGAAGGACTCCTTTAATAATTCGCATTCGAATGATAAGAGTATACTCATAGTTTCATAATAACATTTGTCTTCCATAAAATATTTCAGAAGGGGGGACGTCCCATCAAAATAAATAGCTTCAGTTCACGATAAATCCAGTTCCACCTTCGTGCAAAGTGATTAAACACGATATTAAAGCGATTCGATTAGTCGCTACTATTTTAATAAACGAAAACTATGCTAAAGAGTAATTGCGTCAACGGCAGTTACCGTCGTTCCAATTAACGTAATTGGATGAATTATCTATGAACCGAAACGGAAGAAAAACGCGAAAATTTCTCCACTTTGAACGGTCTACGGTTGTTTTAGGACGAACTTGATCGCAACATGTTCGATGTACAAGTTTAACATAAAATAATTACAACATGTAAACGTTGGAAATTGTATTTTCAGATTACGCCAACGACGCACGCGTGGATTATGCATATGATAATCCGATGTACAATTTGTGATTATGGGGAGAGATTAAATTCTTATTGATAATTATTTCTAGGCAGGTTGGGACTGCGAAATGGAATAGCTTGTAGTGCTATCGCGGGACGAAGGTAAAACGAGCAGAAATTGTATTTTCGTTCTACCTCGACCATTTTCTATTATCTTCATCAAGTTGAAATTTACGTAATCACAAATAAGAGTATTTGAAATTCTAATTAGAATTTGGTGTCTTAACACCGTATCGTAAACTCCCGTTGTACATTGAGTTCAAACAGATCCTGATCAGTAATGGGTTTCAGGACCTGCGGGTCGGGTTCCCCGAAATTAGGAACTTGTACGAGTATCCCAAATTGCATACTTGCGTTTCCCACGTAATAGTGGTTCGTGAAACCAGTACACAGCTTGTACTTAGAATTCAGCAAGTTACCGAAAAATTCACGGATGTCCCCCGCTCGCTCATAACTATCTCCGAGATCTCGAAGTGAGACAAACTTTGGCCACCAAGACTTTGTTAAAACCAGCAGCAAAATCAGAACATGCACGAACTTCGATGGAACTGTTTCGTGTCCCGCCAGAACGTGCCTGGGATTTCATTGCGGCATCGAACCGCGAATATTTCAGGCGCGGGAACACTTTGGAACACTTAGAATAGAACTTGCTACGCAATGCTCGATGCTATCAATCTATCGTGTCTCTCAGCCTGAGACTGACACTATTTCAATCCAATTTAATTTTGTTTCTATTCCTATACTATTTTCCCAGATGTCCGTCAAGTGAATTAAACTACTTTCCTCGTTATTATTCGAGTAGCTTCCGTTTGGTGTTGTTAATCGTCTCTCTCCCCCTTCCTTTTTGGACGAGCAGCGAACCTCAGAGTTGAAACGTAATTTAATCACTTATATCTACCTGTAACGGCCAGTATTATTTTCGCGTATCCTTCAATTACGAGGGAAGTTAACGACGTCAATTCGCAGACCGTTAAAACTACACGAGGAGCGCGAACATACAGAGTTTAATTAATAAACTTTGACCAGTTTTTTGTTTTTTATTGGTTGAACGTGCCGACTCCGCGAAACTTTTGATTTTCCCGGAGAAATATACAGCCACGCGCGCGCACTCGCGTCAAAGCAACCGTAAATCGGCGTAATATTCTGAAATACTTCGCCGGTGAGTGCAGCGTACAAATTACTTTTCGATACGCCGACGAAACAGGCCAGTGGCGTTGTTTGATCGACTTTATACATATGCATTCGCGATATCGCGTTTCGTTTCACGCTTCCGAGTATATACTCGCATAAATACAGGATTTGTTTGAAAAATGTGGACCCGCGCGGGTACACGGTACCACTCGGGGAACAGCGAAACGAGTTTATGTCAACGCAGGAAGAGATAATAGAAGCCGCGTAACAGGGTCACGAATGAAATAACACGCATGCTTAATATTCGCTTGTGTTTACAATTTTCGTGGTCGTTAGTGGCGAGTTGGGTTTTTGGATATCGTGGATGCGTTAATTTGAGAAATTCATTTCTTCGTGTTCAGACATTGGAGGAATTGTTGGGGCGGGTTTGGGGCATAATAAAGAATTAATATTTAATATGCCATCAAAAATTATTATGTAGGTATTGATAAATTCTAGAATACAGGTGTTGATTTAAACTGTACATTACATTTGGGACAATTCACTCAATGGATATCGAATAAAATGGATATAATTTATAAATATCGTACTGACGAAATTAAGCAGAGCAGAGAAATGAAATTGAAACATTTATAGGTATTGCCTTTGTTATTATTTGTTTCTCTTTTTGCATTTCATATTGATTAAACAATTGTTCGTAAAATACCGGAATGTAGCATGGTTAATAAAAGTAATATTTTTATTTTATAAGCATTTCATGTCCTATTTTTATATTATACGTAACAGTTGATTGCAGAAACGATTGTCCAAAACAACATGTAATTATTCCAAGCAGACGATGAAGAGAAAATTTGGAACCATTCCTTTAATAATGAATTATTTTATCAAGCCTTCTGGCATTACGTGAGAAGAAACGTAAATGTAGGGAGAAAGTAGTAATAACACAGTGAAGGGGCGACTAATAAGAGAAACATCAAATTTTGCCTACTTCACTCGTGGAATCGCGTACAGCGAGTGTACCTTTACCAGTGCAGGGATGATTGAGCAAATTATTCAGAATTCCCCAACATTGAAAAGGATGCGGTTGAAAAAGCAGCCCTCTTAATCCGTACTCCACTTCTTTTTGTACCAAATTACGGCTTCGTCTTGGCTACTAGGTAATAAAACACGAAAATATATTCCGACGGTAGCCTTACACGAAAAGAAAGAATTTTTTTGTGGTCCAAATAGCGGAATTGGTTGATTCCAGATGAAAGAAAATACGACTGCGTTTTATCATTCATTTTCATTGTGACAGAATTTATTTTTAAAGCTAACCAAACTGCGGATGACAACTTTTTTGAAACGTGCAACCCCAGATTTGAATACAGGCGTAGCAATGGAAGTGCTCGAATAACAAACTTTTATTTTCAGAAAGAAACAACAATTTTTGAAATCGTTCAAAGTTTGATAAGTTTGTTTTACTTTTTTATTTTGAATTAATAATGTTTAAAATATAAGGAGATTTTAATTACAATACTTCGTAAAGGTATATGATACTTAGACACATGTCAAACTTGACGTAATTGATAAGAATCGATGCGGTAATGGCGTGTCGTATATAGTTTGAAGACATTCTTTAGGACAGTTTGTTACAAGAGTATCAATTTCAAACGTAAATGCACCCCATGGTATCAAAACACGTCTCAATTTCGTCCCCGGTTCGAGATAATAAGGTTACCATCTATAACATAGTACCACATTGTGTCGAGTCCCTCTTGTAGCATACTCGAACGTTATAGAACTTCGATACTCTAATAGTGACTTAACAATGCATACTAAGAAAAAATATACATGTCAATTATTAACGAATGGAGCACTGGATATCTCTCGATTTATCCTTAACCATAACTTTGTCAGAAGATTGTCTATGTAATTAAATGTAATTTATATTTAAAAAATTATATGATCATTTTCTCAATTATCGTTATCAACATTCGTCCATGTCCAGGTGTGAACTATCAGTTTTTGCGACGGCGATCATCTTGGAGAAGAACTCCTGACCCGCAGATTTTAAATAAGGAAATTGTTCCTCGAGATCTCTCACTTTAGATTCGTTGATCTTGTTCCCTTCTTTGTGTAACATCTCAAGTTTGATTAATCTTGATCTTAAGAATCTGTTCCGTTATTTAAATCCTGAGTGCCAGGAGCTCTGGTGTAATCTAACCACTGGAAAAGAAATTGATGAGTTTATGGTTTATGATTATTTCAACGTTTGTATTTAATTCCTATTTAAAAACAGAATCGATAACAAATTCTCAGCATCGCGAAGTTTCCGAATTTATTTTTACGCCCTATAGCGATAGGAGGGTTCGTTAAAATGGTCCAGCGCGTAGCGAAACAGCGAGACGAGATCGTGGACCCAGGAGCCATACTAAATTTTCGCGCGCCACCGCGATCACCGAACCGACTATAATACATACGAATGTTGCGTAAAGCCTGGACTGGCAAAAACGACGCTACAAAAGACCTATAACTTCTTTCGCGGGCGGGGAATTTCTCATGCCGTCAAAGGAAGTGCGTTCGAAGATATATCGTGGTTTCAGAATTATTCCTAGTTCTTTTACCCCCCCCCCCAAACCCCTCCGTTTAACGACACAATTTGTATGCGCGAACCGGACGTTGAGGGTGCATTAATTGTAGGAGTTAAATTAAAGATAACAAATCGAACTAATTCCAAAGGGACCGCACTGTTTCTTCTCTCATCGGGTATCGTGTCTCTCCAAGTTGGATCGCTCGGCAACTTTCAATTCGCATGAAATTAATTTTGGAATTGCTTCAGAATCCCGTGAAATAAGGAGTGTGCTAAATAAATTTGTGACGTTTATTACAATTTTATTATTGTATCAAGTACTAGGTCGTCCCAAAAGTTTGTGCCACTTTTACTTCTGCTACTCAAATTACGATACTCATTTTACGATACTTTCTCACCTTACCGTCACTGTAACATTTCTGTAGTTTTCTTTATTAAATATTGATACAGTCCTCGGTACGAACTTATGGGATGACCTAATATTACGCAGGATTCAAAACTATTCTGTATTGTGTACTAATATTAAAAATATGGCCTCTCAACATAAATTCCCGGGGATAGATAGAGACAAATCCCAGAGCTTCTCGCGCAAGCGAGGCGAACTTCCTTCCATCAGTCCTCACCGTGCCGCCTAAGTCGCAAACTTCCTCGAATATGTTAATGCATTGCCCCCCGCGTCGCGAGAATAAATTGGATCGAAGGCTGGCCGTAATTTACAGCAGATATTATCGACGAACGTTGCAAGCAGGGA